CTTAAGATTTTGTAATGAAAAAGGCACATTATTTGTGCCAGACGCTATATATACGCCCAACAAAGGAGCACCTAAATATATAAGGAAAATCTTTCTGGACATTAAGGAAGAGACTGAGAGCAATGCAGTCACAGTAGGGGATATTAATATCCCGCTATCGTCAACAGATAGATCTTCCAGACAAAAGATCAACAAAGAAACAGAGACCTTAAACAACACAGTACATCAATTAGACTTAATTCATATTTACAGAACATTTCATCATACAACAGCAGAATATACATTCTTATCAAGTGCACATGGAACATTCTCAAAGATAGACCACATGTTAGGATACAACACAAGTCTTAACAAATTTAAGAGGACTAAAATCATATCAAACATCTTCTGACCACAATAGCATAAAACTAGAACTCAACCACAAGACAAAAAACTGAAAAACATACAAACAGAGGCTAAACAACATGTTACTAAACAACGAATAGGTTATCAATGCGATCAAGGAAGAAATCAAAAATTACCTGGAAACAAATGAAAATGAACAAACACCAAAAATCTATGGGACACAGCAAAAGCAGTCCTGAGAAAGAAGTTCACAGCCTTAAAGGACTACCTCAAGAAGCAAGAAAAATCTCCAATAAACAAGGTAAGCCTATATCTAAAAGAGCAAGAAAAAGAACAAACAAACTCAGGAGAAAGTAAAAAGAAGGAAATAATAAAAATCAGAATATAAGTAAATGACATAGAGACTTAAAAGAACAATATGAAATTACAATGAAACCAAGAGCTGGTTCTTTGAAAAGATAAACAAGATTGCAAACCTTTAAACCAGACTCATCAAGAAACAAAGAGTGAGGACCCCAAAAAATTACACCAGAAATGAAAAACAAGTTAACACAAACATCACACAAAAAAGAATTGTAAAAAAATTCCCCCCAAAACAGAAAAACACCAAACAAAAACTATGAACAACTGTATGCCAACAAATTAAACAACCTACACTAAATGGATAAATTCCTGGACATACACTCTTCCAAAGCTGAATAAGAATTAGGAAACATGAATGGACCTATTACAACTAATGAAATAGAACCAGTAATCAAAAAATTCGCTGCAAACAAAAGTCCCAGACCAAATGGCTTCACAGATGAATTTTATCAAACATTCCGAGAAGGACTTATACCTATTCTTTTCAATCTATTCCAAAATATTGAAGAAGGAAAACTCTCAAGCTGCTTATGAGGACAGCATTATCCTAATTCCAAAAACAGATAAAGATACTACAAGAAAAAATTAAATTATAGGCAAATATGCTTGATTAACATAGATGCTAAAATCCTCAACAAATTATCAGCACACTGAATCCAGCAACACATTACAAGATCACATACCATGATCATGCAAAGTGAGATTTATTCCGGGGATGCAAAGCTGGCACAATATTTTCAAACCAATAAATGTGATACATGACATAAACAAAATAAAGGCTAAAAATAATAGTTTGCATTAATAGATGCAGAAAGAGAACTGGATAAAATATAACATGTGTTCATGATAAAGACTCTCAGCCAAGTAGGAATAAAGGAATCAAATCTCAACACAATGAAAGCCATATATGAGAAAATCACAGCCAACATTACACTACATGGGCAAAAACTAAAAGGCCTTCCCTTAATTATCAGGATCAAGATAGGGATGTCCACGTTTCACCATTCTTATTTAACATGGTACTGGAAGTAATCAGACACAGCAATCAGACAAGAAATAAAAGGTATCCAAACTGGAAAAAAGGAAGTAAAACTGTCATTATTCACATATGACATATTGTACACAGAAAGCCCTAAAAACTCCACCAAAAACTACTAGATCTAATAAATAAATATGGAAAAGTAGTAGGATATAAAATTAATATCCAGAAATCAGTGGCATTTTTATACACCAATAATGAAATCTCAGAAAGAGAAATTGAAAAAATACCATTTATTATTACAACCACAAAAAAAACAAAGTACCTAGGAATAAATTTCACCAAGGAGGTTAGAGACCTATACTCAGAAAACTACAGGATACTGCAGAAACAAAATGAGGAATATACAAATAAGTGGAAGCATATACTATGTCCTGAATTGGAAGAATTACCATCATTAAAATGTACATACTACTCAAAGCCACCTAGAGATTTTGTGTAATTTCTATTAAAATACCAATGGCATATTTGACAGATCTAGAACAAATATTCAAAAAATTTGTATGGACCTATAAAAAGACCCCAAGTAGCCACAGCAATCTTGAGAAAGGGGAACAAAATTGGGGGTCACAATACCTGATATCAAACTATAGTACAAGGCCATTGTAATCAAAAGACCCTGGTATCGGCATAAGAACTGGGAGATGGAACAATGGAAACAGGTCAGAGAGGCCAGAAATAAACCCATGCCTTTATGGTCAATTAATATTTGACAAAGGACACAAGGGCATACAATGGAGTAAAGACAGTCTCTTCAATAAACGGTGTTGGGAAAATTGGACCACTCCATGCCAAAAATAAAACTAGACCACCAACTTACTCCATACACAACAATAAACTCCAAATGAGTAAAAGAATTAAATGTCAGTCACGAAACCATACCAGAAGATAGGCAGTAAAATCTTACATCCCTCATAGCAATAATTTTGCTGGTGTGTCTCATAAGAAAACACAGGAAAAATTAAACAAATGGGACAACATCAAACTAAAAAGCTTTTCAGAGCAAAAGAAACCATCAATAAAATATTGAGTTGGCCAATAAGTTCATTTAGTTTTTTCTGTAAGATAGCTACATAGCACTTAGTTCTCTTTAACTTCATTCAAAACAATTTTTGTTAGATTGTATTGTGACAGCTGTCGTATCAGTGAGCATTTTTTAAAAAAACTTATCAAAGTTGATGAATTTTTCTGTAGCCATTTTAATATTGAAGATTGCATTTTATGCTTCATTATTTCAAGAGAGGGAAAACCGGAACTGAAATGTAAAAAAACAGATTTGTGTAGTGTATGGAGAAAGTGCTTTGAGTGATCAAACATGCCAAAAGTGGTTTGCAAAGTTTCATACTGAAAATTTCTCACTGGACGATGCTCCAAGGTTGGGCAGATACATTAAAGTTAACAGTGATCAAATTGAGTCATTAATTGAGATCCACGTTATAACATGGGGGAGATAGCGGGCATACTCAAAATACCCAAATCAATAAAGTTATTGGTGAAATTGAAAAATGTGTCTTTTATTTTACAGATAAAATCATACAGACCTTTTGGCCAACCCAATAAAAAGGCAACCCACTGCATCAGAGAACACATTTACCAATGAAACATCTGATAAGGGGTTAATTTCCAAACTATATAAACAACTTATATAATTCAACACCAGGAAGAAAAACAATCCTATTAAAAAATGGGCAACAGACACTTCTCCAAAGAGGACATACAGATGGCCAATACATATGAAAAAATGTTCAATATCACTAATCATCAGAGAGACACAAATTAAAAATACAATGAGGTATCACCTCACAGCTGCCAGAATGCCTATCATCAATACATCAGCAAACAAGTGCTGGCAAGGATCTGGAGAAAAGGGAACCCTCGTGTACTACTGGCGAGAATGTGGACTGGTGCCCGCACTGTGGAAAACAGTATGGAGATTCCTCAAAAAATTAAAAATGGAAATGCTTTACGACTCAGCAATTCCACTTCCGGGAATATATCCGAAGAAACCTGAATTACTAATTCCAAAAAATATATGCACTCTCGTGTTCACTGCGGCATTATTCAGAATAGTCATGATCTAGAAACAGCCCAAGTGTTCAACAATAGATGAGTGGATAAAAAGTTGTGGCCCGTTTACACAATGAAATACTAGTTGGCCATATAAAAGAAAATCTTCCCTTTGCCACGGTGTGGATAAAACTGGATATTATTTTGCTAAGGGAAAGAACCTAGTCAGAGAAAGACAAATAACATATGATCTTATTTACAGGTGAAATCTAATAAACAAAATAACCTGACATACAAAACAGAAAGAGGCACAGACACAGGGAACAGACTGACAGCAGTCAGAGGGAAGGGAGTTGTGGGACTGGATCAAAGAAAGAGAAGGGATTAAGCAAAAGTGCGCGGGCGCGCACAGCAGAGTGGTTATAGCCAGAGGTAAAATGGGGTGGGGTGTTGGTGAAGATGGGCAAAGGGGGAGAAATGGGGAAGCAAAGAGACTTTGTTTGGGACAATGGGAACACAATACAGCGTGCAGATGTTTTATTGTGCTGTACACTTGAACCTTGCATGGTTTTGCAACTCAATGTCAACCCAATAAATTCAATTTAAAAAAAAAACCAACAATTGTGACACTTGCTCTCTCAACTTCTCACTTCCCAGTCCACTCCAATCTAGCTTTTGCACCCACAACTAATTTTTGTCATAATACTGGTCTCAGTGTTGTCAGGTTCTGTGCACATTTTGGTCTTATTTCATTAGCATTCAATCCAGTATGCTTGGGGCCCTTCTGGAAAAACTTTCCCTTGCCTTCTTCTACTGTTAACTTTTTGGTTTCCCTTTGATCTTTTTCTGCCTGTGACCTCACCCACCACTTTTACCTCACTAAGAACTAATCATCCTTCAGTCACCACTGAAGCTGGATATCCCTCAAAATCCCTTTCTACTACTCTGACTGTTTCAAGTCCTGGTAGATGTTCTACTGGGATCTCATACTTCTCCTTTAAGATACTTATCAAAAATATAATCAATAATTTGCGTAATTTTGTTACATGTCTCTCTTCTCTATCAGCTTGCATGCTTCATGACATCAAATGCTATGTTTCCTTCTCTGCTGAAATTCGAGCATTATGCAGCACCTCACTTTATTCACAGCATGAGTTTAAGTTTATTATCTATATACCGGATGAACAAATAAATAAATAAATAAAAAGTATCAATGAAATAAGGTAGTAAAAAAAAGCATACTTACTAAACTTTTACAAACATCTGCAATATCATTCATTAGCTTTGATGTTAACAATCGTAGGAAAAATCTACATGCAATCTTATTTGGATTGTGCTGTAATGAAGACAAGCCAAAAAAACAAGCAAACAAAGAAATGAAAACAAACAATTATTCTTGGTAGATAGTATTTTCTTTATCTTGAATGAAATGTAGATTTTCCTTTACAATAAAAATTCTCTAACATGAAAAGCATGGATAAAGAGTTTATTATGGGGCGAAGTTATAAATAACTTCAAATATACTAACCTCTTTTTCTGGAGTAATAATAACTATAGCAAATCTCTCTCACTGTGCATAAACACCATTAAAGTAAAATATCTGCTAATGACCCTAAACATAAGCAAGCAGTAATTGTAGCTTAGAGTTAATTCTTACAATTCCGTCCTTCCCACTTACACCAAAACACAGACACATTACAAAACCAAAAACACATGTTAATAATATTGATATATGGCCATATACTTAATTTTAGCTTTAAAAAATGCTGTCAATTATTATCAACACCCTAAACTGGTTCAGCTAACCCTCAAACTGGCTCCAAATCAAACCAAAGACTACACATAGTAACACTCTTCCTATCATATGTTGTGAAAGACTATGTGGGCAGAAAGAAAGTAATGTATACGCCAGACTTGTTTATCTTAGTGGTTCTCACCAGCCCTAATATAGTGGCATGCATGCCACATAGCTAGCAGTCAACACATATTAATTAAATGAATGAAAACATGCTGGCAATAGAGAGTCATGTATGTAATATATAACAGTGGTAAAAGAATTCTGAAACTTCCTGAAATGATGAAATTACCTTCATGAGTTACTCAAATTATCTATTGCTTTATTCCTCTGGATACTACCATTTATTTTCTATTCAATTTCATTTTAAATCAGTATATAAACTTATAAATGGACCAAAAAACATTTAGCACCACCAATCAGTTATCAACTACCTAGACTGGCTATATTGTCAAGCAGGAAGAACATCTTACCTTGGTACAGTTACATAAGCAACGTGTACACAGATGCATCATATTTCTCAATGAAATAATTCTAGATTCCCCATCTGTTTTATTTTTAAACAGAGTGATACTTTCTCCAGCACACTGCATTAGAGACTATTAGGAATAAAAGAAGAAAAAAAATCAAATTTCAGGGAAAGTTAGAGTTCAGTGACTGCTTTTCAAAATTTTAATTAAAGCTAAAATTAGGCTTTTTAAGAAGTTACATTTGACTTATAGTATAATTAAAAATTATGAACAATTTTTTATTATTCTTTTTAAGGTTTTATTTATTCATTTTCAGAGAGAGAGGGAGGGAGAGAGGGAGAGCAACATCGATGCATAAGAGAAACATTGATCAGTTCCCTCTCTAACGCCCCAAAGGTGGAAACCAATCCATAATCCAGGCATATGCCCTAACCAGGAATCAAACCCATGACGCTGTGGTTCACAGACCAGTGTTCAATCCACTGAGCCACATCAGCCAGGGCATGAACTTTTTAAAATGACAAATCTCATACGCTGTTCTTACAAATCACATAACTGACAGTAGTACCAAGATAAAAATGAGTTTCATGCTTCCTAGCACCTACTTGATGAACACTCCTAGTCATGGGTACTTTAGGATAATTCATCACAGAAAAAAGTTTTAAAAGTACAGATAAAAACGAAGAATTTTTGTTGAGGTTAAACTTTAATGTAAAATTCAATTAATACATTTATAGTTGGCTTAAAATAATTTCAAATCTTAAGGAAGGACACATAGGATCATTTCTTCTTAGACTGGATAAATAAAAGAGAGAGAGTAAACCTACATAAAAATTTATGTTTTCCAAACAATTACACCAATTTCCCCAAAGATATATGTCACTTGATTAATGCAGGACTTATTCACATAAATTCTCCTACCTTGGCTTTATGGAATAATTCTGATCTATACACTTCCTCTTCAGTTATTACATCCACATAACAATAGCAACCAAGAACACCCACTAAAAGACTTGAACACCGCACAAGCGTTTCTGTATTTGTAGTCTGAAAGGAAAACACAAATAAAACATATGGTTCATAAATAATTTCAGTACTCTATGATTATCTCTTGTAAGAACAAATTTTATGTACTTTATTAAGAAACAAAAGTTTAGTTAATTGAATTAATTGTGGTATAATTCTGATCATTTCAGAAAAACATCTAAAAGATCCTTGCAGAGTTGTGATAACCAGGATTTTCAAGAAAAAGAGCACAAGTATCTCATAATGGCCAAGTAAGACATCTCCCCTTAAAGTAGCACAGTTCATTGTAAAGGCCCTTAAGTATTTGAAGTAAGAAGAAAAAGAAACTGATACTGAAATAAATGTCTCTAACTCTTAGAACATACTTGGAAAGTAGGCTCATACAAAGAAATATTAAGAGGATCTGGCCAACTTGGAAAGTAGGCTCATACAAAGAAATATTAAGAGGATCTGGCCAAGTTGGAAGCATAGGCAAGAGATACTTCACTTCCGCGCACAACCAAAAGGAGGATAACAACCAGTTTAAAAACAAAAGACAACCAGTACCCCCAAAATGTCAAACTGAATGGAAGCCCAACAACCAACGACACAATGAAATATTCATCCAGACTGGTAGGAAGGGCAGAGACAGTGTGGGGGAAGGGGGCAGAGAGGGCAGGGAGCTAGGCAGCAGCTGGCAGACCAGGGCAGGTGACCCCAAATTCGTGTGCAGATAAGATGGGAGGAACAAGCAGGGAGCAAGACAGACTATGAAACCCAGGGTCTGAGGATGGGAAACTAAAGACTCAAAACTCCTGGCTGTAAAAATCAGTAGGGGTTGCCGCAGCTGTAGAAATTCTCAATCTCACAGGAGAGTCCATTGGAGAGGCCAACAGGGTTCTAGAACCCTACTCACCTACGAATTAACACCTGAAAGGGCACAATCTGCTTGTACGAAGTGAGGGAGGTGACAGAAAGTGGGGCAAGAGCTGAGCAAGGGGTATTGTTCACTCTCTGACACCTCCCCAACAATAGCACACAATACAGGGAAGAGGGTTGCCCTGTTCTGGCAAAAACCTAAGGCTCTGCCCCTTATGACATAAAATGCGTGCTGAGACAAAGATATATGGCCCAAATGAAAGAAAAGATCAAAACTCCTGAAAAAGAATTAAGCGATGAGGAGACAGACAAATTATTTAACACAGACTGCAAAACACTGGTAATCAGGATACTCACGGAATTGACTGAGCTCAGATGCAAAATGAAGGAAGTAATGAAGGCTATACAAAGTGAAATAAAGGAAAATATATAGGAAACTAACAGTGAAGGGAAGAAAACCGGGACTCAAATCAACGATTTGGAACAAAAGGAAGAAAGAAACATCCAATCAGAACAGAATGAAGAAATAAAAATTCAAAAAAAGGAGGAGAGGCTTAGGAATCTCTGGAAAAACTTTAAACACTCCAACATCTGAATCACAGAGGTGCCAGAAGGAGAAGAGGAAGAGCAAGAAATTGAAAACTTGTTTGCACAAATAATGAAGGAGAACTTCCCCAATCTGGCCAAGGAAATAGATTTACAGGAGATCAAGGAAGTTAAGAGAGTGCCAAAGAAGTTGGACCAAAGGAAGCACACACCAAGGCACATCATAATTATATTACCCAAGATTAAAGATAAGGAGAGACCCTTAAAAGCAGCAAGAGAAATGGAGACAGTTACCTACAAAGCAATTCCCATAACTCTATCAGTTGATTTCTCAAAAGAAACCTAAAAGGCAAGAAGGGACTGGAAAGAAGCATTCCAAGTAATGAAAGTTACTTGGAATCTTGACCTACACCCAAGATTAGTCTATCCAGCAAAGCTATCATTGAGAATGGAAGAGCAGAAAAAGTGCTTCCCGGATAAAGTTAAAGAAGTTTATCATCACCAAACCCTTATTATATGAAAGGTTAAAGGGACTTATCTAAGAAATAGAAGGTCAAAACTATGAACGGTAAAATGACGACAAACTCACAATAACAACTGAATATAAAAAACAACAAAAACTCAGCAAACAACTAGAAAAGGAACAGAATCACAGAAACAGAGATCACACAGAAGGTTATCAGTGGAGAAGGGGAGGGAGGGACTGGAGGAGAAACGTACTGAGAATAAGAAGCATAATATGTAGGCACAAAATAGGCAGGGTGAGGTTAAGAATAGCATAAGAAATGGAGAACCAGGTAATTAAGAAAATTAGGAGAATCAAGATGGCAGAGGAGTGCATGGAAGTCACACTGACCTCCTCCCAGGACCAATCTGGAATTACAACTAAATTGTGGAGAAATAACCTGGAACAAACAACTGAACAGTTGCGATGGTGGAGCCTTATAACCTTGAGCAGACAGAAGAATCAGCTTTAGCACAACCTAACTGCCATTTACCCTGGTCTCCAGCAAAGGCTGGTGCATAGTGGGCTAGAGGTGCCTGAGGAGAAACTGAGGAAGGAGGCCACGGAGAGAGAGCTGAGGGAATAGCCAGCAGGTTCCCAGTGCTGACTCATCCCCCATAGGGCAGCAGCCATCTTCCCCAGGCAGACCATTCCCCAGTGTGGCAACAGCATGAGAGGACACAGTAGTCCTGCACACAGGAGACTCGTCCCTGGCCTGGTAGTGCTAAAGCCAGACTGCTGAGTATACAGTGGCAGCAAGAGATAGTAGATACCTGGCTAAAGGGGGCACAGAGTGGTCTAGAGAAACTTGAAGAGAGACTGGAGACAGGCTTTGGGGAGAGAACAGGGAGAGTAGCTGGCAGGATGCCGGTGCCGACTCTTCCTCCATATGGCAGGAGCCATCTTGCTCAGGCCGACCACTCCCCTGAGTGGCACCAGCGAGAGTGGACCCAATAACCCTACACACAGGAGGGACTCTGCCCTGCCCTGTGGTGTCTAAGCCTGACTGCTGAGTTCAGAGTGACTAGATTAACAACTGAAGGAGACAGCCACAGACAGTAGATGCCTTGAAGTCTAAAACAGACTGCCTAAGGTCAAGAAGGGGTCAACATCTAACATCATCAGAGGCAGATCCAGAAAGAAAAAAACAGCGATTTCCTACCAGCGAATCCTCCCTCACTTCGTACAAGCAGATTGTGCCCTTTCAGGTGTTAATTCGCTGACAGAAATTCATACCAAAGTCAGGAAATCATGACAGATCAATTTAAGAAGCAGAAGCAAAAAAGAAGAGTCTCACAAATAATGGGAAGACAAAGAAACACTCCCTAGTCAAAAGGAAAGGAGGAATCCCCAGAAAGAGAGGTAAATGAAATAGAGGCAAGTAAACTGTCAAGTACTGAGTTCCAAACAATGGTTCTAAGGAAGCTCAACGAGCTCAGTGAGCTCAGAATTACCAAAAACTACAGGGAAACTAGGAGGAACTTACTGCAAACTATATGAGCATGAAAAAGGACATAGAAACTATCAATAAGAGGCAAGAGGAAATGAAGAATATAATTTCTGAATTGGAGAACACAGTAAAAGATACCAAAAGCAGGCTACGTGAAGCAGAGGATAGAATCAGCAACCTGGAGGATAAGGTAGAAAAGAGCTCCCAGAAAGAGCGAGAAAATGAAGAAAGACTCAAAAAGAATGAAGGGGCATTTAGGGAAATGCAGGACAATCTGAAAGAAAGAAGAGACACCTAGCTTTTGCGACAGCATGCATGGAACTGGAGAATATTATGTTATGTGAAGTAAGCCAATTGGTGAAAGACAAATACCACATGATCTCACCTATAAGTGGAATCTATTCAACAAAATAAACTAAGGAAAAAAATAAACCACAGGCATGGAAACATGGAGAGCAGATTGAAAGTGACCAGAGGAGATGGGGAAGGAGGACAATGGTGGAAAGATGGAGAGGGGACTAGACAAAGAACATGTATGAATGACCTATGGACATGGAGAACAGAGTGGGAACTGACAGTGGGAGAGGGGGGAGGAGTGGTATGGGTGGAAGAGGGCAAAGGGGGAAGAATTGAGACAACTGTAATTGAATAAACAGGATTTAAAAATAAAAAAATTTAAAAAATTTTAAAGCCAAAGAACTTATATGGACCACCCATAGACATGAATGAAAGGTACGAGGCAGAATGCTGGAGGATTGGGTGGTGCAGGGAGGAGTGGGATAAATGGGAGAAAACAACTGGGACAACTATAATACCATAATCAATAAAATATACTTCAGCCCTGGCTGGTGTGGTTCAGTGTACTGAGCACTGGCCTGTGAACCAAAGATTCACTGGTTCGATTCCTGGTCAGGTCACATACCTGGGCTGCAGGCCAGGTCCCCAGTAGGAGTGCACGAGAGGCAACCACACATTGATGCTTCTGTTCCTCTCTTTCACCCTCCCTTTCCCCTTGTCTAAAAATAAATAAAATCTTAAGAAAAAATTAAAATTGTTCTTTAAAATAAACAAATAAAATATACTTTAAAAAATATTAAAATGACCTTCATAGCTTCTGAGAGACAACCTTGACTTATTCAGCTTTGAAGACTCCACAAACTAACACAAATATTTTTGCAAGTAGAGAGTCCTTAGCCAATTTTATAAAATTATGTATGATTTTGCAAAGGTTACACAGAAAAACAAGATTTTTGGATTTTTTGTTCTTATATTGTAGGGAATGGCATTTTAGGGTAAAACACAGAACACCATATTACTTTCTAATGAAAGTGGTTACAACTGGGATACAAAGGAATGTCAGTAATTAAGGTTAAGGCACATGAAACAGGCACAGTGTCCCTACGTCAGCTCTTCAGCTCACTATTCCTGGCTACTGAATTCACTCTTTTGAGTAGCTTGCAGTTTTTATTTTATGCAACAAATATTTTATCATCTACCATTTAACAAGGCATCGTGGCATACACAAAGATTAACAAATATATATATATATGTCCTTTAAGGAATTTATAGCATGGTTTAAGAGGTATTTGTATATAAAACATATATACAAATTACAGTATAAGGAACATGCTAAGTGACCTTTAAATGAAATATTAAGTATTATGAAAATTAAAAGATGAATTGTTATGGCTGAGATTATCTATGAAAGGATTTAGCAAGGATTTTGACATGTAGATGCTCTGAATATATATCAATGGGTAGAAAGACATGAGAATTTTGGCAAAATAGCACACGGGAAGAGAATTTGTGAATTAAGAGCACAAAAGAAATGATACAAGAATGTACTAGATGACCTCTAAAATATGGGTGACTGCTGGTACATTTATTACATTTACTAATCACTCTTTCCACTTCAATGACTACCAGAACTTACTATATGTTTCAATTATGCCCTTTGCTGTTACTAACACTTCCCTCCATAAAATTGAATGATTTTTTCATCAAATAATTGCTCTACCCAAAAACATTATTATTCCTCATAAATCCACCCAAAGAACTTTACTTCTAAAGTTTCGACCAGGATTCTTGGTACAAAAAAAGTACTAAATTATTATTCTTCAGTTTTCCTTTTTTCATGCCATTCTGACTACTGGATGACATGTAGTGTCACTTTGCTTTTTAAAAGTATGCTTCTCTCACCATTCTTAGTGCCTTTTCTTTCCTCCCCATTTCTCATTCCTACCAGTCTACCAAAGTGGAAATATAGCCCTTAGTTCTTTTCAAAAATCTCACCTCAGATGAATAGTTGTTTAGAAGCCGTTCTGACAATTCCAGAAGATAGCGATCCAGAGATTCCTTGAGATTTTGGAGGACAGAAAAGCCTCCACTGGATTTAGGCTTTTCTATAGTACAGTCTTTCACAATGGTTAAAAAATCCATTTTGTCAAACGTTGACTGAAGAAATAGTTCTTCAACTGCTGAGAATGAAGGCTCTTGTTTCTCTTTTTCGTGGTGATCACTTCAAAAAAGTTAAGACCTTTATTTTATAATCAAACTACCTAATACTTCATTTTCATATAGCAGCATTCTATTACAAATGAAAACATTAACTTATTCAAAGACTGTTTATACAATCAATGGATTAGTCTTTTAAATGCCCCTCTTCTTTGGACTTTGATACCTTCTTGTATCAAATTTCATTATTGAGTGACCAATTTTACTAAGAGATGGACAAAAGTAGTACAAGTAACAATCTCAAAGGCAAATTCAGAAAGTATTAAAAAGAATACATTAATAACAATAGATATAAATATGAAGAATAACATTATTGAAGCATTTCCTTTTCTAACCTTTAATTTCTCCAAAATACAGCTTTTTTTTTCCATCTGATGCCTTCTTAAGGGATATTAGAAACCTTCATGCCAGTGAGTCATTTTCAGTCACAATGAAAACTTAAGCCTTTGCGTCAATCAACTAAAATGGGGTTTTAGAATTTATTTTGTGTTCCTTTTCCACAATTATCATTGGGATTTTTTTTATCATTAGTTTTTAAAGCTAACATAGTCAGATTTTATTTGACATATAAAAATGGGTCATATCTTGCCCTGATCGGTGTGGTTCAGTGGGTTGCGCGTGTTCTGCAAAGCTAAAGATCACAGGTTCAATTTCCGGTTGGGGCACATGTCTGGGTTGTGGGTTTGGACCCTACTCAGGGGGAAGAACGAGAGGCAACTGATCGATGTTTCTCTATCACATCGATTTTTCTCTCCCTCTCTTTCTCTTCCCTTATCCAATCTTGAAAAATAAATAAATAAATCTTTTATTTTAAATGGGTCTTATCTTTAAAAAACTTATTTCATGTAATTTTTGTTAATTCCCCATCATAACATTCTACTTCTTCCATTGTCAAATGTCATATTATACTATGCAGTATTTAAAATAGTGAAGTTTGCCCCAGCTGGTGTGGCTCAGTGGATTGAACACCAGCCTGCGAACCAAAGGGTCACTGGTTCAATTCCCAGTGTAGGGCACATGCCTAGATTGCAGGCCAGGTCCCTAGTATGGGGTGCAAGATGAAACCACACATTGATGTTTCTCTCCCTCTTTTTCTCCCTCCCTTCCCTAAAAATAAATAAATAAAATCTTTAAAAAAAACAACAACAGTAAACTAGATTTAAAATTACAGAACATAAAGAGCAATCATTAAAATAAACATTTCCAGGGTTAACAGTTGTAATATTTTTTTCAGTTGACCAATTTCTTCAAAATTTTAAAGATGTAGCTACTACTCTATGTAATCAAAGATATAACTTTAAAAAACACAGAATTCTATTCAATAACATACCATTCTGGTACACTCTGGAAAAAATTCATTGTAGCTTTACAATTTTTCATAGTGAGACTCACAAGAATTTTCTCCAGTGAAAGATGTGGAAAATTACTATAAAGAAAAAATAAAATCTTCACTTAGAACATCAGAAGCCATTTATTCTTTAAACTCAAATATCAATGTTTGGCTTTAGTACTGACTTCTAAAATTTGGATCCAAAATTAAAATTGCTTTCATCTATACTGAATGCCTTAACATTTGAAAGAAGAATTTAAGGAGCATAATTTTATGTCATTATTGTTTTTATCATTTCCTAGAAACAAAATTGTGTGCAAGTTTTAAAGCTCAGTTCTGAAATAAAACAATTATGAAATTAAAGCACTGGGATCCAGAGACCTGTCTTCCAATCACTCAGTTCCAATTACTGACTATGGAAAGGTTAAGTAGGCAAGTTGCTCCCCATTCTAGTCCTTAAATCCCATTTTGTCTCTTTCTCATTTCATCCCTCCATTGACTTAACATATTTCACCCAGAAGATACTCTCATTATGATTCCAGGATACATATGAGTTAGATAGATATTCAGGTGGACCTATTTACAGAAGATGTCAAAGGAACACAAGTGCTCAAAGAGTTGTATGTTTATTCTTTGTGCACATCCCCCTTATTGTCCACTTAGGACAAAGACAAACATAAAAAGAGTACTCTAACAACAGAAAGAAAGAACACTGAAACAACAAAGGGACTATTTAATATTTAGGGGTAGCTCCATTATTACTGTAAAAAAAAGCCATCTAGCATCAAATAGTACTAGGTAGAGCCTCACTAAACAAACCAAAAAACAGCAGCATGCTAATGAACTTAAATTACCTGTGCAGAATGGGAGGAAGCTCTGTACTATCTTCAAAGTCATCTTCCAACTGATAGAATAAGAGCCATTTCATTATCAATTCCCTTAAAGATAAATTTCTATTTACTTCACATATATCCTGCTCCATTCCCATTTTTACTGTTTCTGGAACTACACAGATGGTCAGTGCCAAAGTCAAACAGCATGTAACAGGGCTATAACAAAACAAAGAATGATTAAGTTAAAAGTAACCTCTTTAAGTATGTAGTACTACTAAAAAATTTGGTTTATGAATATGGAGAAAATAAGTAATGAATTGTCAAATTACACATAAAAAAATTTAAACATTTAATTGTTTAAAACTGGCCTTAGTAATCTCTCCACATTTAAAACTAAATTTACATTTATTTATTTATTAAGACTTTCTGAACAAATAATAAAAGTACCTGAAACAGAATGTAACAATCCTTAACTGAACTTACAGAATCCAAAATTTGAGGGGGCGGTGGCGAGGGCGGCAGTGGCGGGGGGTGGAGGTAGATGAATATATATAGTGTGAGAGTGTGTATGTGTATGTATATATAAAAATATGAAAACTGCAAAATCTGATACAATACATAGTCAACTTACCATGAAGGTCTGCAGGCTGACCCAGTAAATAACTTCCAGAATTCTCTGTCAACCTCAACTAAACTCCCTTGAATTATGGCTCTAAGTAAGCCAAAATTTTCAGCTTGTATTTGTTCAAAAGTAATATTGCGGAAGATAACAGACCAAATTTTAATCCAGAGTTTCAATAAATCTGACTTTTGTGAGATTTCTAGGTTTGATTTCTTGCCTTGGCACAATGCAACTTCCGTAAGACATCGTAACACATATGGTGTGCGTTCCCCACGTCGTTGCTGAGGTAGAAGCTGGTATAGTATCATCAATAATGGCAACAGCTCACAGTTAGGTAAACTTGCAGGATATTTGGATATTAATTGGGTTGTAATCTGTAACCTGAAAGAAAAAAGTATAATTAATTTGAAAATCACTCAATTCTATCACCAAGCTAAAATAAAATAAATATACATAGTACCATCACAGAGTATCACCGTCATCATTTTCCATAGTGATCTCACAATACATTGGTCTTAATTTTTATTAGGCCCTACTTCCGAAAGTGGCAAGAAGTGGCAACTTTCTGCCTAGCTGGGTAAGCTATCATATTTCCCTCGCACAGAAACTTTAAAGAGTAACAAAATTATTAATATTATACTCTTGACTTATCACACCCATCTCTGTTCTTCAACCACCAATAATATTCCTCCAAGGTAGAAAAACAAAAACTTCAAAAAACTGTCCTCCTTGATATTAATTAATTCAATAGATATTTGCTTTGAGTTTTCTACAATGTGTCCTACTCAAGAATAGAAACTTTTAACTTATTTATCTTTGTATCCCTAATGCTTGGCACATAGCAACCATTCAATAAATAACTGTTATTTTTTTAGAAAGAGGGGAAGAGAAGGGAGAAAGGTAGAGAGACACAGATCAGCTTCCTCTCATAGGCACGCCAACCAGGAACAAGCCTGCAACCCAGGCATGAGTCCTGACCAAGAATTAAACAGGTAGCCTTTTGCTTTGTAGGATGATGCTCAACCAACTGAGCCACCCAAGTCTGGGCCAATAAATAACTCTTGACTAAATGGACAAATTAATGAATCTGAAGTAAGAGCCCTCAATTATAGAAAACAAACAAGCTTAAGCAATAGGTATCTAAATCAATACGTTTTTCCCATACAACTCAATTATATTTAAACATTACATCAACACAGTAATATCAAAAGAACATCAAAATACCAAAATATCAAAAGAACACGAACCCTAAGTTTGGCTATACTCTACAAATTTCTAACTGGCCTTAGGCAAGTTGCTTAACCTTTCTTAGTTTCAGTTATGTTTTATAGTAAAGCAAATAGGCTGAACTGGATAAATTCTAAAGATTCCTACCAAACCAAATATTTTGAGATTTCACAGAATTCCACAATTTCTTTAATTATTTAAAAAACTGTGAATATATGTAAGAATAAACAACACAGCAAAAAAGAAAAAGTAACCTTGCCCTGCCTGGTGTGGCTCACATAGTTGGAGCATCATCCCCTGCACCAAAAGGTTGCAAGTTCGATTCCCAGTAAGGATACATACCTAGGTTGTGGGTTCAGTTCTGAATGGAGGCAAGCAATCAATGTTTCTTACATCAATGTTTCTCTCTCCCTCCTTTCCTCCCTCTCTAAATCAATAAATGTATCCTTGGGTGAGGATTAAAAAAGGAAGAATAATAATAAACTTTTGTCATGGCTTAAGGTCCAAATTATTCTGTGATTTCTGAATATTATCTTTAATTTCTTCCTAATCTAATTCTACTAAAAGGTGCTTGTCCATACTATAATCTCTTTGTTTTGAGGTATATGACTCAGTGAATTCCATGACGCATACATTACTGATTGCCTACCAGGCATCTGTTCTCACTTATTCCCTGCTATGTTAGTATGCTTAAGAAAAGTGGCCCCGTCCCCACGAACTAGCAGATGAGCCACGGTCATCTCAACATGTCCTGGCAACATATGCCCTTTGTCAGTGACTGGTTTAAGAGTAGACAAATGACCTAGTTCTGGTCAATGAGATTAAAGCATTCAAATGGCTAATAAATTTAAAGGAGGTCTTTGTGAGAAAAAAATAAATGAGCCTAAAATGACATTGAAAAAGGAAAAAAAGTACTATTTTACCAAGGCACAAGTTCAAAATCATTCTGTGACTTCTGAAGATGATCTTTAATTACATCCCAGCCTAATTCTATTTTTCTCTTTTTGCAATGTACATTGTAATCACTAAATTCTCCTTGTGTGGTAGTATAAGACTGAGAAATCTCCAGAGAACTGAAAGCTTCATTAAAAACCTGTAAAATAAAAAAAGAAAAAGTTAATTTTTTTTACATTGCTATTATGTTCTAATAGTTCATTAAAAAATGTGTTTTTCCTCAAATGAAGATATAGGGAAGTAATAAAGCAAGAGTAATAAGTCATAGAATGATATAAAGATAATAATATAATAACAAACATTTTGCATGACTGTAGAGGCTCTCTAGAAAGCAAATATTACCAAGAGTATGAGTTTTATTTCCTCATAACATTTACTGGAAAAACACCAAGATATGTAAAGTAAAGCAAGAAACTCTTATGTTCAACGTACTGAAATCATGAATTTAGACTTCCGGTCAAGATGGAAGTGGAAACAGGGCTCACCTCCTGGAACAACTACATCAAAATTACAACTAAATTACAGACCAACAATCACGCAGAACCCTCAGAAATCGAATTGAATGGAAGTCTGACAATTATAGAACTAAAGAAACCACATCAATCCAGAAGGGTAAGAGATGCAGGGATGCGGAACAGGCGGGTCCCCACACCCATGTATGGTGGATAAAAATTCAGGAGGAATATCTTGGCAGCAAGAGGTTCCAGATCTACACTAGGCGTCTAGCCCAGGGTTCCAGTGCCAGGAATATAAGTCTCCATAACATCTGGCTGCAAAAACCAGTGGGATTTGGGTCTGTTAAAAAAACTACTGGCCTCCCTGGCAGTTCCTTTAAAGTGTCCGCACTGGCAGTTAATCAGACACATTCCTTTTGAGCTCTATCACCACCCAGGTAGCAGACTGAAAGGCAACAGTGGCAGGGAGGGAAGAATTGAACTGTCTGGCATCAGTGCAATAGCTGGGGCACAACTCTCTGCCAGACAGAATGGCAAGCAGAAGCCATTGTGCCTTTTCTGAGCCTTCCCCCCACAGCGCCACAGAACAGGCAGGCAGGAACCATATCTGAGACTCCATCAACCTGGCTTATACTGTTTGCCATGTCCTGGTATTTATCTGAGGCTCCTCCCCACCCAACCTATGGCTCACGCTCAGCCCACCTACCTCTGGCTAAATACCCCAGGCCTGGCACTAGCAGCAGCCAACTTTGGATCCCAGTTGGGCTCCTCCTGGGAACCTCCAAGCCCAGTACAAGTGGCCTTCTGCAGGCTGCATTTTGGCGCATGCTGGGTGGCCCGGAGCAGAATACAGATGGTGGCTGACCCTGACATGCACTTCCTGGGAAACCCCAGAACCTAAGAGCCCAGTGTACAGCTACAGATCACGTCAGAGCACTATCACCCTGACTATGCTCAGCTAATCTCCACAGAGGGCAGACATTGGTGGTCAGTGGTCACAGTCAGTCTATGTAGCTGACTGGCCCTGCCAATAGCAATCAAGACTTAACTACAAGAGGAGGGCATACTCAGGCGACAAGCAGAGTGGACCTCACGTACCCAGCTTGAGCAATAGGGGAGGCTGTGCCACTGGACCCTACAGGACACCCACTACATTAGGCCACGCTACCAAGACACAGAGTCATAGCAGCTCTACCTAATACATAGAAACAAACACAAGGAGGCCACCAAAAAATCATGAAGAAACATGGCCCAAATGAAAGAACAGATCAAAACTCCAAAAGAAGAACTAAACAAAGTTGAGAGAAGTGATCTATCAGATAAAGAGTTCAAAAACACTGGTTTATTAGGATGCTCAAGGAACTTAGTGAGGACCTCAACTGCATTAAAAAAAAAAAAAAAATCCAGTCAGAAATGAAGAGAAAATAAAGAACACTAATAGAATGGAGTGGATGAAGCCGTGAATCAAATCAATGACTTGGAATATCAGGAAGCAAAAAACAACAATCAGAACTACAAAAAGAAAAAAGAATAAAAAAAAAAAAAAAAAAGACAGTGTAAGCAGCCTCTGGTACAACTTCAAGTGTTGGGAACTGTCCTGCCTGGTTTAAGGGACTGTAGCCTCGCTGACAGGTGAGAGGGTCCCAAAGCTGGAGCTAAGCAAGGAGGCCTTGGGAAAGTAGGCCACTGAGGAGACAAAACCTGTCCCATCACATCATCCTGGCATGGCCCCAGAGGATGGCTGGTTAGTCAATGACAGGTAAGACCCTTCGATGGCAGGGACAACCTAAGACAGGCACAGTTGCATAGGGGCCATCATGGGACTTGAGGGATACAGAGAAAGGGCAAAAGACCCACACCCCTTGGCTTTGAAATGGCCAGTCCTCATTGGATCTGAAAGAAGTCTCCTTATGTCTTAGCGGCTCTGCCCTGTCTGCCTGGCTCAGGCTTGAAACAATACTAAAGGCACGTACAGCCCTAAACTGGATATGGTAGTTCCCAGGACAATCAGACCTGGAAAAGTAATGTATTAATTCCTATGAAACTTACTTTGCTAAGAATGCCCTCAGAGTTAATGAGTACTGATGTTTGGGGTTGAGCATAGAATGTGATTAGTTTCCCAGAATGGGTACCACCCTGTCTACCAGATCTTGACCTGAGTCAAATTTCCTGTGTTCCTCCAATTGTTACCTATGATCACTATTTGTTTTCTGTAAACATAGCCTTTTGACAATGACTGATGAACTTTGCATCCATGCTGTATACCCCTACGCATATGGTTCTCAATAAAAGCCAGTGGACACAGGGGCTCATGGCCTTCTCCACTAGAGTCAAGTGCCACCCTTTCCATGGCAGACCAAAAGTGTCTGGAACGACTTATTTTATTTCTCCGTCTGTGACAATCTGGAGCATACTCTGAGGGACAGAGCTGACCTTCCACCCCAGCTGTCGCCCAAACAGGGACCTTACCTGGGGCCCTCAGGACCAGTGCCACCTCATTCAAGTGTTCCAATATTTGCATCAGAAGGATGGCAGAAGGAGAAGAGAAAGAGCAAGAAATTGGAAATCTATTTGAAAAAATAATGAAAGAACATTTCCCTGATTTGGTGAAGAAAATAGACATGCAAGTCCAGGAAGCACAGAGAGTCCCAAATAAGATGGATGTAAACAGGTCAACACCGAGACACATCATAATTAAAATGCCAAAGGTTAAAGATGAAGACAGAATCTTAAAAGCAGCAAAAAAAATGCAGTTAGTTGCCTGCAAGGGAGTTCCCATAAGACCATCAGTTGATTTCTCAAAAGAAACTTTGTAGACAAGAGGGGATTGGCAAGAAATATTCCAAGTCATGAAAAGCAGAGACCTACAGCCACAATTGCTCTACCCAGCAAAGCTATCATTTATAATCGAAGGGGAGATAAAGACCTTCTCAGAGAAGAAAAAACTAAAAGAATTCATCATCACCAAACCATTATAGGAAATGTTAAATGACTCATTTAAGATCAAAACTATGAATAATAAAATGGCAATAAACACACATCTAGCAAAAATTGAATCTAAAATACAAACTAAGGAAACAAGAACAGAGAAAGAATCACAGGTACAGAGAGCATTTTGATGGTTGCCAGACGGGAGGGAGGTTTAGGGGAATGGGTGAAGAGGTGAGGGAATTAAGGAGTACAAATAGGTAGTTACAGAAAAGCCATGGGGATGTAAAGCACAATATAGGAAATGGAGTAGCCAAAGAACTTATATACATGACCTATGGATATGAACAAAGAGGGGTGACTGCCTGTGGAGAGTGAGGGGTGCTGGATGGGGTGGGCAAAAGGTGAAAAACTGGAACAACTGTAATAGCACAACCAATAAAATATTTTTATAAAACAAACATATTGCTCTGGCTGGTGTGGCTCAGTAGATTGAGCATCAGTCTGCAAACCAAAAGGTTATAGGTTTGATTTCCAGTCAGGGCACATGCCTGTGTTGCAGGCCATTGTCCCCAGGTGGACAACCGTTTCTCTCTCACACAATGAAGTTTCTCTCCCTCTCTGTCTCCTTCCCTTCCCCTCTCTTTAAAAGTAAATAAATAAAATCTTTCAAAAAATCATAAATTTAGCATTAAGAAAATACTGATAAGTGAAATTATCTAGGATGTTAACCAAACCTCTGATAAAAAGTTTTACTTCAGAAATATTTAGCCATCAACTGAAGAATGGACAATCAAAATGTAATACATCCATACAACTGAATATTACTCAGCAATAAAAACATGGAATACTGACTTATGGTAAAATATGAATGAAACTTGAAAACATGCTAAGTGAAAGAAGCCAGACAAAAAAGACCAACTATTATGTGATGATTCTTATATGAAATTTCAAAATAGTCAAAGTTTAGTTGCTAGATACTGGAAGAAGTGGGGAATTAGGACAAAGTTCGGGGAAAAGATCTGTAATTAAATGGAGATGATGGGTGTAAAACATAGTAAAATTTCTTAAAACCACTGAATTGTACACTTTAAAATAGCATATTTTATGCTATGTAATTTCTAACTCAGTAGTAAAAAAAGAAACATTAGGGTTAGGGTAATCTTACTCTGTATAGATAATATTTTAAGAATGAAAAAGTTCATCACTACTTTTCACTAAGTTCATACTATGCAGAACAGTTATCTTTAAAGTCAGAGGCAATTCTAAATATTTCTGGTATTTTGAAAAGAGTAGTTACATGTACAGAGTAATTTTAAAGGATTTTTATCAGAACAGAGTTTTTAAAAGCCCAGTAAAAAAAAATTAACAGGAAATTTCAAAATATGACAAATACCTGGTGACAAATATCTGCCATCAATTCAATCATGTTTTCCTTGACAGCAACATTACGAGATCCTGAAGAGTATTTTCCTCTGCTTCCTATATGACTTATCTCATTAACTAGCAGATCGTATAAGTTGTATAAGATACTTTTCCATTTTCTTGATTCATAAGCACCTGTAATTCAAAAAATATACTTTTTATATATACTCCATTTGTACTGCCAACTCCCACCAAACTATTCATCTGTTAAGGTGAAAACAACATCAGAAGACATCTGATCCAACCTTCTATTCAGTACTAATGCTTCTCTTCTAACATTGTCCTTAACAAACTCTAGTTCATAATAGTGTCCATTTCATGTCCAGTTAACTGTATTTATTCAAAATTTTTCTCATCTGCTGAACGAACATTCTCTAATCAACTCCATCAAAATCTCAATCAGCCCTGACTGGTGTGGCTCAACAGGCTCAGCAGGCTCAGCGTCGTCCTGAAGGCCGGGCATCATCCTGAAGGCCAGGTTCAATTCCCAGTGGGCAGATGCCTGGGTTGCAGAAGGCAGCCAATCGTCACTTCTGTTGCATATCAATGTTTCTATCCTGTCTTTCTCCTTCCTTCCCCTTTCTCTAAAAATAATTAAAATCTTTTTAAAAAACCTCAAACTTTCTCTTATTTCTTCTCTCCCATGAAACAAATACAATTAATATGTTCCCTCCTTTGCATGAGGACCAAGTTCTCTGTATGTCTAAGAGAAAAACACCTTACCAGTTCCTTCAACTATTGTACAAATGACATGTTATCCACGATTCTCATCATCCCACTCTACTTTCCCTAGACATGCTCTAGTCAACTTATGTACTTCTTAAAATGCTGACTTTACAGTATCTGGTGAACATGATACTCCAACTGTGATGTGACCAGTATGGGGAACAATGGGCTATTACTCCCCCAAAAAACAACCCCCCACCCCCTCCACCCCCACAAAATCTACTATCATAGCCTAAAACTACAGTGCATTTTTGGCAACCTTATTGTACAGCCAATTTTTAAATCATCCTAAATATGCAGTTAACTAAAACCTTAAACATGCTATGCCGTCTCCTCACAAACCTGGTTTTCATCTTGGTGAGAGCTACATGAAAGATGGAAAACTAAAAAAAGCCACCATTCGTTGACTCACAGAGGTTTCCTGAGCTACTAATACACCTAATCATTCATACTAGAACTCAACAGCTACTTTTGATTTAAAAAAAAATAGTGGCTACCACAGTTCTCTCTTATTTTAGCTGCTATTACTCAATGTAGCATGATTTCTTAATAATGAATTGGTCTGAAGGCTAGTACAAGCCCAAAGGCAAACAGCCTGAGCATGAGGAAACACACTCGGTTCTAGTTCCACCCAATAAAGTTCCTGTCTACTCAATGGACCTAGACCATCCAAACAATACTCTCTTGATGAAAGACAAATGTGAAGGAATCAAGGATAAACGGTTTTCCCAGTAAACAGGGGCCTGGCGTGCCTTTGAGGTCTAAGACTACATGGACCAATCTTCCTCAGAAACTGACTAATCTGATTGGCTATTTTCAGTCCACATTTATCTATTTTACCTTCTAATAAAAGCAATGTGTGGGTAAACAAGACCCTGCCTTCTGAAATTCTTTTACACTTAGCCTGTGTCTTATATCTTAACAACTAATTATTGCTGTCTAATTAACTCCTTGAGGGAATACTGTCTCATATTTGTATTCCTCATAATAACTAGCATTGTGCTAAACACATGGTAAGGCATAATATGATATGCTACCACAGCTTCAAATTCTAAGAAAATGTTTGAAAAATATCATCATGACTAATTTCATTACCAAGCACAGCAATCCAAAGGAAGATCATTAACTCCCACCAAATACAGATTTTGTGTTTAAGCCTGTATGTTTCAATGAAGAAGCAAATTCAAAAGAGCAAAAAATTCCTTCATACCTTTTTCTTGAGTTTTGGCTCCTTTTGGATGATGGATATAAATTTGCAGTTGAAGTAATTCAATAATTACTTCTTTTAAGGAATCATTAAGTCTGTGTTGAGTCCAAATATAAAGCAAGGTAGGAAGAATTTCATCTCCTAAATCACACACTCGAATTCGAAAGTTAATAGCCAAAGTCTTGAGGAAAATAACAAATGCTGCTAAGATATGATTTAGGCCTGCAGAAGTCTTTCCTTGTCTGCGATAAAAAATGAAGACTCGACTTGGTATAACAGGAAAAAAGTATACAAACTGAAAAGTTATTAATTGCATGCTGAAAGAAAATATCTAATTTTCAAATAACAATAACTTTAGTCTCAGAACTATTCAGAAAAAAATCCCAGCACTATTAGAGAGCAACCAAAAATAGTTCTTCTTTGGTGCTAAATCACTCCTGTTAGCTCTCCTTGCTAAACATTGTTTCAAATTATACAAAACTGATTTGTAATGCCTATCACTTACAAAATGCTTCACATTAAAAACTGGGTAGTACCACACAAAGGCAAGATATTGATACTTCCAAAATATACTACTTTATTTTATTCTTATCCTCAAAAGTGGGGAAAATAAAACTACTTAGAGGATATTTAACTTTTCCTGTCATTAGAAAAGCGAGACAGATCTCTCACTTGGGAACATCATTTCACATTCTGTATAACGGATATTTAGGAATTGTTGGACCTAACTAATACTTTCTTTGGGAATCCAATAGTTCTAATATAATGATCCAAGTTTTGAAAATTGGTAGTATTTTTAGTTATTGAATCTAAAACACAGTCTTTCAATATCAAATGAATTTGTAATAAAACAAAACAAAAAGAAGTTAGATTACCTTGCATTCTGAATAGCCTTGGAAAAAAAATCCAAAAATTTGCAATTTAATCCATCAGTTTGTGAACAGCATCCTTTAGTCACAGCTTGAATGATTCTAGCCACTAAAACTCTATTAATGTCTTGTGAAGGTTTCAGATACAGTGTGAAATATACCGAAAACAATTCTGAAAAAACAAAGAAACAAAAATGTATTAGTTATGTTTTTAAAGAGGAAAACTATCAAATCATGTAACTTAAATGTCACAATTCAGTTTAAATTTTAATATTCTCACATAAAGATTTAAATGCTAATTTGCATTTAACACAGTAAGAGCATTCCAACTATATTTAATCATATTTTATATAAATTGTGTTCAAGACAGGAACACCTTCAGGCAGCAAAGAATGGAAACTAAGAGCCAGACTTCAGATAAGCTACTTACCTTCTCTAACCCTGTTTCTTCATTTACGCCTAACAAAGCACTCGACAAAATGCACATTCCACAGTTTTGTTTTAATGCTGTTAGACTAATAATGAATAATTTATTTCTCAAAACAATAGTAGAATACTTTTATTTCTACATAAATCACCCAACCACAAAAGCAGCCTGAAGAGTCACAGGTGAAATAGGTGCAAACACTGAGCTATGTTACAGGAAAGAAACCCCAAGCTTTTAATAGTTAATGAGCTGCAAGGAAACCTGTCCTTTGCTCTGGAGGAAGCCAGTAATCATCTCTATCATCATCTCTATATCCCAAGGCTCACTATACAAACATACTTAAAAATGCAATCTGGAATAAAAAGCAGTGTCTCTGTTCATAAGATGTGCAGAAACATGAGATGTATTTAGAATTATCTCCAAACACAATGAAAAGCAAAGTTGTTAACACAGGTCCTCCACATAGAGATAATTAGAAAGTCCTCAGTAAACTGAGTAATAATACCTATGGGTAGCTTTCTTTGCAACCGTATGTCACATGATTCTGCAGAAATAGTTTAAAATCAGAGTTATAAACTACAAAAGAATAAGGACAATATAAATACCTCAAACATTAAAGAGTAATAAAAATGATTTTTTAAAGGCTTTCTATCATATCTGACACCAGTTTAGAGAACTCTATACCAGTGCTTCCCAAACTTTTCCCACTACATGTAATACCTAAATAATGGTAAACACTTGAGTTAAAATACATACATTGGAGATTAGAAAAGAGGAGGGCTTATCTTTATCATTTCCTTCTTACTACTTGCCAGGAATAGAGAGGTAAAATAGGAAAAGCTAACAAAGCAACTGTGTCTAATTAAAGCTCAAGTTTCAGGGTTATGCTAGTTGGGGGAAATGATTCCAATTCTAAAAAATTCCAATACTCCCCCAAATAAGCGGTAAAAAATGTTGCTGTAAGAAGTTCAACAAAAGTCTCAGAAGAGCAGAGTCTACAAAATAGACTGCCAGTGTATGCCTCCAGATGAATTCACTTCCTCCGTGAATTTAACAACAGAAAAAGATCTAAGAGCAGATGGTAAAAAAGCATATTAAAAGGGGGTTTCTGGAGTTAAGATGATAAAATAAAACCCCAAATAACAGTATTAAATGTAGATTTCTTGGGACTTTATATATGGACAAGCATACCATCTGCAAATAGAACAGTTTTATTTCTTCCTTTCCAGTCTGTATGCCGTTTATTTCCTTTTCTCACCTAACTGCCCTGACTAGAGCCTCCAGTACAATGTTGAGTAAGTGGCGAGCACAGATATCCTTTTGTTCCCATTTTCTTTTGTTAAAAGATTTAAATTACAAATCTAATTTCTTTAATAGCTATAGAAATATTCAAATTATCCATTTCTTATTGAGTTCTGATAATGTGTGGTTAAGGAATTGGTCCATTTAAAATTCAGTTGTCAAACTTAAGTGCATGGAGCTGTTGACAACTATTCCCTTATTATTCTTTTAATAGCTGCAGGATATGCAATTACGTCCTATTTCATTCCTAATATAATTTGTGTCTTCTCACTTTATATTATGTCACTTTTGCTAGAGGTTCTAGTTTGTATGGATATTTTCAGAGAATTAGCTTTCTTTCATTAACTTCTCTTTTTTCTGTTCTCAATTTCATTTATTTCTGCTCTTCTGCTTGAAGGGTTTGTTTTTATAGTTTCTTGCGATAGAAGCTAAGCTTATTGAATTCAGAGCTTTCCTTTTTTAAAGGATTTTTGTATTTTTGAGTATTTGTATTTAGTATTTAGCATTCATATTTAGTATTTTTGAGATATAGTTGACATATATATTAGTTGAGGTGTACATGATTTGTACCTATTGCAAAATGATCACTACAGTAAGTCTAGTTAACCTCCATCATCAGGTATAGTTACAAAAATTTTTTCCCTGTGATAAGAACTCCTAAGGCCTACTCTCTTAGAAACTTTCAAATATAAATAGAATATTATTAACTATAGTTACCATCCTGTACATTACATCCCCATGACTTATTTTATAGCTGAAATTTGTCCTTTTTAACCCCTTACACCCGTTTCACTTGCCCTTCTCTCCTCCACCTCTGGCAACCACTAATCTGTTCTCTGTGTTCACGAGACTTTCCACTTCAGTAATGTAGGCATTTGATGCTATAAATTACCCTCTCAGCATAACTTTAGCTGCATTCCACAGAATCTGATATGTTGTAATTTTCATTTTCAATCCCTTCTAAGTATGCTTTGATTTCAAGTCTTTTCCTTCAGCTGCTGAGTTATTTAGAAGTGTTCTGTTCTTTTTCACAAAAGTATTATGAAGAAAACAGAGTGCTATGATAGAAAAAAAGATAGGAACAAATTTAGAAAGAGCACTCAGGAAATGACAGTGACGTGCAAGCTGAGACCTGAAGGACGAGACAAAACCAGCTATAAAAAAGGTAGCCCCTGACAGGAGGACAAATGCCACAAGTTAAGGGCTTACACTCTCTAAATGGAGTGAGATGATCCTTAGCAGTTTCAGAACAAAACACTGGGACTCTTTATTTTTCATTAAAATTAATTACAAATAAAAAATTAAGCTTTACTGATATTAAATATAGAAATTATCAATGGCCATTTTGGAAGACAGTTTGGCAGATTCTTACAAAACTAAATATACTTTTCCTATACAATTCAGCAATCAAACTGCTTGGTATTTACCCAAATGATTTGAAAACTTATCTGCACAAATATGTTTATAGTGGCTTTATTCATGATTGCCAAAATTTGGGGGCAATCAAAATGTCCTTCAGAAAGTGAAAGGGGAGAATGGCAATATGGTGGAGGAGTGAATGGAAGTCACACTGACCTCCTCCCAGAACCAATCTGGACCTAAATCTACATTGTGGAGAAATCACCGGGAACAATGAACTGAAAATTAGCCAGAGAGGAGCCGTATAACCTCGGATAGACATAAGAATCAGCTTTAGCAAAACCTGACTGGTAAGGAGTGTGGTGGACTCAAGAAGGTGGGCAGGGTGCCCATAGATGGCAGCACCAAAGGGATATTTAAACAGCCAGTTGAATCCTCCTGGGAAGAGTGGGGTCTAAACTACAAGTGGCCCACAGCACCAGAGCCAAAAAAATACAGATAACAAGCAGCTACAAAAAGGGGCAGGGTTGCTCTCTGCCAGAGACAGGTGGCTCGAGATGCAAAGAGCCGTTTAAAGGGCCAAAGCATTAATTTTTATTTGCAGCCACTTCCCCTGGTCTCCAGCAAAAGCAGGGGCAGAGTGGGCTGAAGACGCATGAAGGCAGACTGGGGAGGGAGGCTTTGAGGAGAGAGCTAAGGGAATAGATGGCAGGATCCCAGTGCTAACTCATCCCCCATATGGCAGCAGCCATCTTGCTCACTCAGAGTACTCCCCTGAGCACAACAGCACGAGAGGGCCCAAGCCCCCCCCACCCCCGGAGAGACTCTGCCCTGGTCAGTGGGATCTAAGCCTGCTGAGTGTAGAGGGGAAGCCACAGATAGTAGAAACCTGGCTAAAGGGAGCACAGAGTGGTCTAGAGAAACGTGAAGAGAGACTTGAGACAGAGGCTTTGGGGAGAGAAGGGGGAGAGTGGCTGGCAGGATCCCGGTGCTTACTCCCTCCTATATGGCAGTAGCCATCTGGCTCAGGCAGACCACTTCCCTGAGTGTCAGCCGCATGAGAGGATTCAATAACCTCACCCCCCCAAGGAGCGACTCTGCCCTGCCCTGTAGTGTCTAAGCCTGACTGCTGAGTGCAGAGTGACTAGATTGACAACTGAAGGAGAACGCCAGAGATAGGAGATGCCTTGAAGTCTAAAACTGACTGCCTAAAGTCAGAAGGGGTCAACATCTGACACCATCAGAGGCAGATCCAGAAAGAAAAAAAAGCGATCTCCTACCATAGAAATTCCTAGCACAAAGTCAGGAAATCAAGACACATCAATTAAGAAGCAGAAGCAAAAAAGAAGTCTCACAAATAATGGGAAGACAAAGAAACAACCCCACTTGAAGGGAAAGGAAGAATTTCCAGAAAGAGGAGTAAATGAAATAGAGGCAAGTAAACTGTCAGGTATTGAGTTCCAAACAACAGTTCTAAGGAAGCTCAACGAGCTCAGTGAGCTCAGAGAGAATTACCAAAAACTACAGGGAAACTACGAGAAACTTACTGCAAACTATATCAGCGTGAAAAATGACAGAGGAACTATCAATAAGAGGCAAGAGGAAATGAAGAATACAATTTCTGAGTTGAAAAACGCAGTAGAAGGAATCAAAAGCAGGCTGGAGGAATCCAAGGATAGAATCAGCAACCTGGAGGACAAGGTAGAAAAAAGCTCCCAGAAAGAGCAAGAAAATGAAGAAAGACTCAAAAAGAATGAAGTGTTAAGGGACAAATGCAGTACAACCTGAAACGCAATAATATCCATATAATAGGGATACCTGAAAGAGAAGAAGAGGAGCAACAGATAGAGAACCTGTTTGAAAAATGATGGAAAACTTCCCAAATTGGAGGAGAGAAAAAGTCACACAAGCCCAGGAAGCACAGAGGGTCCCATTCAAGAGGAACCCAATGAGGCCCATTCCAAGACGTATCATCATTAAAATGGTAAATAACAAAGACAGGGAATTCTAAAGGCAGAAATGGAGAAAGGTAGTAACATATAAGGGAGCCCTGATACGGCTAGCAACAGACTTCTCAACAGAAA